CCCCCCCCATGTGAGCAGGGCTCCACCAGTCCCACCCTGCCTGGGAGCCCCGATAACCACCCCGCTCCCGATAACGCTCCCTCAGCCCTGAGCCAGCACCCAGCCAAGGGGTCCTCCATCCCCAGCACCCACATGCATCCCTCTGCCACCCCCCACAGCGCTCACATGGCGATGAGGCGGGCAACAGCAGTGCCAAAGCGGTCAAAGATGTAGCCCATGGGGAGAGTCATGAAGTTGTTCATGAAGGAGCCGATGGTGAAGACCAGGGAGAACTGTTCATCCTGCCCGCTGCAGTCTGCAAGGCAGCCATCGGTGGAGACAGGGGCACCAACACAGGGGACACGGGCATGGGGGGAGTGGGGAAAAGGGGCAGCACTGGAGACAGGAAAAGCAGGGAGCCAGTGGGGATAATGGGCACTGGGACAGTGGGGATACAGGAATGACAGCAGGAACCCAGGGCACAGAAGTACACCAGACAGTAGGAATATGAGAGGCACACAGGGCCCCCCAGGACACCAGGGACAAGGACTCAGCACTGATAGGGATGGTGACACTGGGGCCGTACCAGGATACAGCGTCCCATTGGGGTTGATGTTGGCCGAGGACTCGCACCACTGCTTAAAGTAGTCCAGGTTCTTGAGGACGTAGACGAGGGAGGCCCAGCCAAAGATGATGCCGCAGAAAGCACCGCATTCCAGCAGCCCTGAGAGCAGAGTGCCCAGCTTCTTGGCTCGTCCCGCACCTCCCGCCATGCTGCCAGGCACGGGGCTCTGCTGCTCCTGCAGGGGACAAGTGGGGAAGTCACAGCCCTCCCTCTCCACACAGTCCCTCGCTTTGCATATGACCAACCACCTGGACAAAGGCCAACCCGGCTCCCGCTCTGTCCCTTGTCCCCTGGGCAGCCCCCCCCTGCTGACACCCACCTGTACCCTGGTGCCGCTGCAGCAGCAGAGTTTGGAACCTGGTCTGAATCCCTGTGTGGGGTGCCTGAGGCACACGGCTACACCGTGCACTTCTGCTGGGATCACTGGGGGGGCCAGGGCTGCTGGCACCAGATAGGCAAAGAACTGTTCTCCCTCCCCAGCATCACCTCCTTATCTCCCCGCAGCACTCAGTCCTGGGGACATGCAACCTCTCTAAGCGTGTTCCCCTGGGGCCTGGCACACAGAGCTGGTGCATTTCTGAGAATGCTAGACAACTCACAGCGTGGAGGCACAGCCCTGGGGGTGCTGGCACTGTCGCTAGGACCATAAGCAGAGCACCCAGAGACAATGACACACCCCCAGGGGCCTGACACACACACCTGCATCTGACCAGGCACCCTGGCACACACTTTGGGGACAATGGCACATACCCCCTGGGGACAATGACATATCCCCAGGGAACCTCACACGGTGCCAGGCATGCTGACACACCCTTTGGGACACTGGCACCTCTCTGGGAACCCAATCACAGGCCCTTGGTGCAGTGGGACGCTGGTGGGGAACCCAGCACATTCCACCAGCGTCACCCAAGGGACCTGCAGCTGGCTGCCACAGGTGCCAAGGTCATGTCCCCATGTCCCCACACATCACCCTGAAGTCCCAGCACTTACCACACCTGCGCCACGGCATCACCGTGTCACCAGGTCCTGCTGGTGACACCAGTGGCCCTGCGGCCAGTGTAATGGCTGCTAATGAGGCCTCATTACAGCTGGTCGGGGGACAGGCGGGTGGCTAAAGATTAACCTGGGCAGATGGCAATGGCTCAGCCCCGAGGTCAGCAGGGCTGCACTATATATAGCTGCCCCAGCAGAGGTTGCAGGCTGGGGGCGCGAGTCGGGGTGGCACAGGAGAGCTGTGGCAAAGAGGAATGCTGCCTGCCTGGTGCCGCCGCTGTGCCACCGGTCTCCCCAGGAAGGAGATTGAGCTTCTCTAGGAGACGTTGTGTGGCTGGGCTGCAGGATGCTGAGTGCCCTCCTGTCCCATCGAGGGGACTTGGAGCCCTCCCGGCCCCGTCGGCTTCCGGGAAGGGCTGCGGGTGCCCAGGGCTGGGCGAAGCTGCAGCCCCATGACGCAGCAGGCGGCCCTGACAGCCCCCACGAGGTGAACTTCCCGCAGCCATGCGGGCGCGCACATGGTGAGGCACGCACGTGGTGGGGGGAGCACACGTAGCCCCCACGTTCAGCCCCACGCAGTCCCGACATCGCCGCGAGCACCTCACGCTCCGGCCCGAGCCCCTCTGCTCCCACCGCGACCCGCGGTCTTCCAGGATCCCCGGGACCGCCCCACCACGCCGCGCAGCGTCGGTGTCGGGCTCGGGGCACCCGCTACCCGGCACGCCCCACCGCCCTCGCGAGCATCCCGGCCGCCGCTCCCCAGGCCCGGCACGGTTCGGCTCTGTTGGGCGAGGAGCCGCCCGCCCGCATCCGCCGGGAGTGGCATCGCCGCGGCTCCGCCTCTGTTCGGCCCGGCGGGGCGGGGATGCGACCAGCCCGGATGAGGCTGAGCCCCGTGGCCCGGCCCGGCCCGGCTGGTTCCGAGGACTGCACGCTTACCGTCACCTCGGCAGTGCCCGCTCGTCCTTCTAGGCGGGAGGCGGAGCGGAGAGAATCGACGCGGCCTCCGGGGCGTCGGCAGGGGCGGGGCAGGCCCGGAGCTGCCGTGGGGTCACTGGGACTGCGACCCCCGGACTTGGGGTCCGTCCTTATTCGCGTGCTCGACCCGCCAGCCCCGTGTCCTTCGCTGCCCTCCCTCCCATCCGTCTGTCCGTCCTTCCCTGGTCTCACCGCCCCCACGGCCCCATTCATCCCTTCACCCGTCCATTCATCCCTGCTGGCAGGCGCCGGCCACCCTGCAACCTGCCACTCAGCTGCACAGCCATCCACCCATCCATCTGCCTGCCTCCTGCCCATCTGTCCCACTCCATCCATCCATCCATCCATCCATCCATCCATCCATCCATCCATCCATCCATCCTTCCGCCCTGCTTCACACTCACCCAACCCTACACCTGTTCAACATCTGCTCATGACCTGCCCTGCACTCTTTCCCTGCCACCCTCACCCAACCCATGCCTTCACCCCCACCTCCCCATCCGTCATTCCTTTTTTTCCATCCATCCATCTCTCTTCCGCCATCCTCCACCACCCTCGCTCCCATCTCATCGCCCATCTCTTTCCACCCGCATCTTGGTGCCATTGTCCCTCCCAGGACCTGCTAGGGACACAAGGGTCTGTACCATACCCCCACGCCATATCCACGGGTGTGTGGATGCAAGTAAAGGACCAACGCTGGAGGTGCCCAGCGCCACAGGCCCTGACACCTCTGCCACTTTGCCTGGACCCATAGGACCCGTAGAATAGGGACAGCTATGGCACAGTGGGACCGGGGAACATCGCGGGGGACAGCGAGCGGATGGCGGCCCCTGAGTCAGCCCCGTGCCGCCCGCAACGCCCACCGCTCCCCGCCAGCGTCTGTCTCTCCAGCTTGTGATATTTCGCTCGCCGGGAGCCGCGCCGGAGACGGCACCGCAAACACGGCGGGTGCCAGATTGTGCCGCCGCAGCCTGGCACGGCCACGCGAGCCCCTCCCCACCCGCGCTCCGTGGGCTCCCCGCGCCGCCGCTCCCTCCGCGGAAACCCACCGCCCCCCGCCCCGCGCCCAGCACCGCGGACAGCGCCCGCTCCGGCACCGCGGACAGCGTCGCGGTCCCGCGTGGGTGAGAGGCGAGGGGTGCCGCCTCGGGCCCCACTCGCGACCGTCCCTCTGTCCCATCCACGGGCACGAACGCCCCTGCCGAGGTGTCCGCCACCCGCTGGGACGCAGCACCCCCCGCGAGGGTCCAGAGATGCAAGGAGGGCTTCCCCGCGGCTCGCTCCCCCGGGCTCATGGCCCCACGCGCGAGTCGTCGCGTCCCCAGTGGGAGCTGCCAGGAGGTCTCGCGTCCTCTGCGAGACGCCCCGCGGGTCCCTGGGGACGCGCTGCGGGGCGTCCCGATGGGCAGCCCTCGTCTCCGCACATTCCGCAGAAGCGCCGCGATCCTCCGTGGAGTTCCCCCACGCGCGGAGCGGGACGGCCCGGCCCGGCCGAGGAAGGGTTAAGCGGCGGGACCGGCGGCGAGGGGCGGAGCGCGGCCGCCCCGGGATAAGGCGCGGCGCCGGGCAGGGCTCAGCCCCTCCGGGAGCCGCGGGTAGAGCCGAGCCGAGCCCACCCGTGCCATGCCCCGGGGCGGCGGCTGCCGCTCCTCCTCCCGGCGGTGCAGCGGGGGGTAAGGGGCGCGCACCCCCCTCCCCCCCGGCACCGGCCATGAGCCGACGTGCAGCGGGCAGCGCCTGAGCGCCCGGCCCGGTCCCGCCATGCGGCCCCCGACGGCTCGGGACCTGCCCCGAGGTAGGCGTGGGGCGGGCCGGGGGCACGGCCCCGAGACCCCCCCGCGGCGGGGCGGGGCGGGGCGGGGGTCCCGGCACTCGCGGCGTTGCTTTCGGGATGCAGCCGCTGCCCCGGGGCAGCGCACGGAGCGCTGCGGGGTTAACGGGGCGCGCGGTGCGGGGTGCGCGCTGTCCTCGGGGTGCACAGTGCGGCGCAAAGGGTGCGTGGTGCCACAGAGCCCCGCGGGTGGGTGCTCCGTAGGGTCGCCGCAGCGGGGCAAAGGGGAAGCGGGGACGGTGCGGGGCGCTGTTGGGGGGGGGGGGTGCGGGGGGGAGGGTGGAGCCGGCAGCGGGACCCTGCGAGTAGGGGGGCGGCTGCGCGGGGAGCGGAGCCCGGGAGCCGGTGACTTCAGCTCCGAACTGAGTCAGCCCGCGGCGAGGGGGAGTGACAGATGGGGCGCGGGAGGGGGGCGCCGGGGGGGCGCACGCCGGCACGGGGCGCCGGGGGAGGGGGGCGGCGCCGAGCAGCTGCGCCGGACGCCTCCGTGCGTTCCCCCCCCCCTCCCATCCCCATCCCCGCCGCCGAGCATCGGGGGGGCCGCCTCCCTCCCTCCGCAGCGGGCCGTGGAGCCCGAGCCAGGCCGGGCTGAATTATGGATGAGGCGCTCGGGTTGCAGCGCAGGGCACCGGGAAGGCGGAGGGGGGAATGGGGGGGGGAAAGGAGGAAAAGAGAAGGGGGGGGGCGGGGGCGCGAACACCCGGAGCGGCGGCGGCGCGTGTCACCGGGGAGCGCGTCAGCCCGCGCCCACGCGCGCACCGCCCCGCACGTGGCCGCGGCACGCGCGCACGTGGCGCCGCCCCGCCCCGCTGTCGGGGGCGCGCGTGGGGGGCGCAGCCCCCCCCTCCCTCCCTGGAGGGGGTCCCATGGGAGTACAGCCCCAGGGGGACACGGGGAGGTCCCAAAGGACAAAGCCATGGAAGCTCTTCGGAGTTCCAGTCCCCATGAGGTGCTGGACCCAATGGAGTGGGCAGTGTCATGTGGGGTGTGTGTGGCCCCCGAGGGCTACTGTGGGATCCTGGCCCTATAGGATAGGCATGGCCATGTTAAATGGTGCGTTGCCCTGCTGGCTTCTTATGGGATCATTGACCTTATGTCATGGCCCTAGTGGTCCCTAAGAGAGAGTTGCTACATGGAATAGATGTGGCCCTGTAGAGATCTTGGAATCCCTGACCTTAAGGGATGGCCATGGCCATGACCGTATGGGGTGGACATAGCCCTGTAGAACTCTCCTGGAGCTCCTGGCTGCATGGAATGGGAACAGCCAAGTGGGATGAGCATGGTTCTGGAGGGGGGTTCCTAGGGCCTGGTGGCAGCCAGTACCCCTTGGGGTGCTCTCCGTGGGGTTGCTGGGGAGGGGCGGTGGGTGCATGGGGCTGGGCCGGGGGTGCGGGGGCAGTGCCCCAGGTCGAGCCCCGGGCTGACGCCCCGCTGTGCCCGCAGGCGGGCGCCTGGCGGCCCTGCTGCTGGCAGCGCTGGCGTGGGTGCCCGGTGGGTCGCCCGCCTGCCCCGCACTCTGCACCTGCTACGTCTCGCCGCCCACCGTCAGCTGCCAGGCCAACAACTTCTCCTCGGTGCCCACGGGGCTCCCGCCTGGCGCCCGCCGCCTCTTCCTGCAGAACAACGTCATCAGGGCGCTGCGGGCGGGCACCTTCGGGCCCAGCACTGTCACCCTCTGGCTCTACTCCAACAACATCTCCTCCATCCAGCCGGGCACTTTCCGCCACCTGCCCGCCCTCGAGGAGCTCGACCTGGGTGACAACCCGCACCTCCGTGTCTTGGCGCCCGATACCTTCCACGGCCTCCGGCGCCTCCAGGCCCTGCACCTCTACCGGTGCCAGCTGGCCAGCCTGCCCAGCGCCATCTTCCGTGGCCTCCACAGCCTCCAGTACCTCTACCTGCAGGAGAACGGGCTGCTCTACCTCCAGGTCTGATATGGGCCAGGCTGGGTCCTTAGACAGCCCTGTGTGGCAGGGCTATGGGGTGTCACTGGGGAGAGTATGGGGGATGCCACTGAGGTGAGGTGGTGGGTGGTGCTTGCAGGCATGGGCGTGGGACACGTCTCAGACAGTTACAGTGCAGGGTGGTGGGTGCTGTTCAGGGTGCAGAGACACAGGGCAGTGCAGTGGCCATGAGGCAGAGACATGAAAAAGTGCTCTCGGTTATACCCATGGGACAGGTGATAGGTGATGCCCACAGGGCAAGGACAGGAGATGGATGACACTGTGGAGCAGGGACCATAAGGCAGGGAGATGTATGCTGCCTGTGAAGCAGAGGCACGAGGCAGGCTGGTGATACCTGTCGTACAGAAGAGCTCTTGGTGATGATACCCCTGAGGCCAGGACATGGGGCAGGGTGACGGGGGCACCAGAAAGATGGGGGCATGGCGGAGGACTCTTGGCGCTGTCTGTCCAACAGGGTGATGGGCAGTGACAGCTATAGGGCAGAGATCAGGGTGACATCCATGAGTTACAGAGGTGATCATGGCGTTAGGTGGCAATATGGAGTTGGGACGGTGATCAAGGTGCTGGGTTATGCCTGCAAGGATGGGGTCACCCACCCGGTCCCTCACCTGCTCCCCACAGGATGATCTCTTTGCCGATTTGGCCAACCTGAGCCACCTCTTCCTGCACGGCAACCGGCTGCGAGCTCTGTCCGAGGGTGTTTTCCGCGGGCTGCCCAGCCTGGACCGCCTGCTGCTGCACGCCAACCGCCTGGCCACCGTGCACCGCCGCGCCTTCCACGGCCTGGCCCGCCTCACCATCCTCTACCTGTTCAACAACAGCCTGGTGGCTCTGCCCGGGGACCCGCTGGCCGCGCTGCCCTCCCTGCAGTTCCTCCGCCTCAACGCCAACCCCTGGGCCTGCGACTGCCGTGCGCGCCCGCTCTGGGCCTGGTTTCGCCGCACTCGCGTCTCCAGCTCGCCCGTGCCCTGCGCCAGCCCCCCGCACCGCCGTGGCACCGACCTGCGGCACCTGCGGCCCCGTGACTTCGACGGCTGCCCTGAGGAGGACGAGGAGGAGGACGAAGGCAAAGATGAGGATGACAGCGACGGGGGTGGTGGCGGTGGCGGGGCGGTGGCCGTGGTGGGCACCCCCGGGCGGGCGCTAGGCCGCCCCGGCACCCTGCCTGCCGCACCGCCTTCCGCCTTCTACCGCGACGGGCTGCCGCCCCACGACCTGCGGGGCTCCCAGCCCCGGCCGCCCCCTCCGTCCCGTGACTCCCGCGGCCCCCCCGGGGACAGCCCCGTGGCTGCGGCCCCCCGCCCGGCCCCCACCCTCCTGCCCCTGCTGGGCCTGCTCCTACCCCATCTCTGAGCCCGACCGGGGGGCCTCCGGACCCCTCTCAGGTCCTCCCGAGGTGCTCGGGGGCAGGAGGTGTCCCCAGGACTCTGCTCCCACCCGTCCCGAGTGAAAAGAACCCACGCAGGCACCGCGCGGTTGGGAATTCTTTATTAAAAATGGTCTTATTTTGGGAGCGTGGGGCCCAGCGGCTGCGGCGCTGGCTTTCCAGGTCACGGCGCTTTCTCCTCGTGAAATATTGATGGCCCCAGCACCGCTGCTGCCGGCCGCAGGGCCCCAGGGCGCACGCACCGCTCGCTGCGGCACGGATGGACGGACGTACCGACGTTACACTCAGCAACGCCACCCTGTTGTCACGCCTGTGACACCTCGCACACCCGCTGCTTGCACGACAGGCGCACAGTGGGGCGTAATGCGACCCACGAGCTGTGAGGACAGCGAGTGTGCGCACAGCCTGACCCACTTCCTGCCAGCCCCGGGGATGCGCCGGCACAGGCGCAGTGTGTGTGTATGGATGGATGGACACACAGTGCCCACCCCCAGGCCGGGGTCTCTCTGGGTGGGTGTTCCTATCTAGCAACCCTGTGCAGGTCTTCCTTGCCCGGTGACCCTGCACATGTGTGCATATCTGTATGTGCAGCTCCGGGGTTGCCTCCATCCATGTGTCCCCCCTATGTGTCCCCGTATGGCTGTCTCTGTGTGGTCCCTTTCAGGTGTGGAAAGGGCATTGTTCCTCTCCAGCTGTCCATACCGGATACCGTCCCAGTAACAGTCCCCATAGAGGTGTGTTTTCTCACTGCCCTCCTGCAAGTGTCCCTTTGTGGCCATTTCTCCAGGTATCCCCCAATGCCCCCCAGCAAGCAGAGTGAGGGGCACAGACCCATCCCGACCTCATAAGGGATAAGGAAGGTCCCAGCCTATCTCTGAGGCTGACGTGGGCACGGCAGGCAGCCCGAGGTGCCCCCCCTCCAGGAGGTGCCTATGGCAGCTGGGCCCCATGCAAGGCTGTCCCACAACACACCCAGTAGTGGGAACACGAGCAGGTTAGTGGGGCAGCCCCTGACACAGCACCACAGATGGGTTTGGGGGGCCCAGAGAAGCAGACAGCTGGCCCAGAGCCTCCAGTTTATTGGTGTGGTGGGAAGGAGAGTCTGAAGGGAGGGCTCAGGCAGTGCCAGTGCCCTGCTGCATGCGCTTGAGGAGCTCCTCATCCTGCAGCGACAGCTCCGTCAGCTTCTTGCCCATCCGCTCGTGGACATCCAGGTACTTGGCCACGCAGCGGTCCAGGCACACGCTCTCGCCCTTCGACAGCTCCGCCTCCTTGTAGTGGGGGGGCACGCACTTGAGGTGGCACGCCTGCGTCATCCTGCGGGGCAACACTGTCACACCCCAACAGTTCTGCCCGGCACCCACAGTACCCTCCCCATCCCCAGCATTCGCAAAGCTCCCGCTGCCTCCACCCGCGACACCCCCGCACCTCTCACACTCCCAGCACCTCCCGCCCACGGGCACTCCCCCAGGCCCCGCCCCGGCCCCTCACGCCGCGCACCGGTTGTACATGTCGGCCATCATGTCCACCTCCAGCTCGGCCGCCAGCTGCTGGGCCCGCAGCGGGTCCATGGCGCTCCCGGACCGGGCTCCCGCAGGATGCACGTGGGACGCGCGCTTCCGCCCACACGCTCAGCCGCTCCGCCCCGCCGCCGGTCTCGGCCAATAGGAGATGGGTGGGGGCGGGACAGCAGCGCGTCTCCGGCGCTGATAGGACGCAGGGAGAGGGGGCGGGGAGAGCGGCGCAGATTGGAGCGGCCGCGCGCTTTGGCCGCAATTCGCCCCAAAGGGGTGGGAGCTGAGCGGCAGTGGGTGGGGACAGTCGAGCTGGGGGCACGGCCTGTAGCGGGTCCGGCCCGGCCCACGCGTGACCTCCGCGTGTCCCTGTGGATCTGCCCGGCACGTCTCTGCCCTCGTGTGTCGGTGTCTGCTCTGTGTCTGTGTTCCCGCGCCCCTCTATGTGAATGTGTCCCCTATGTTCCTCCATGTGTTTCCCCCGGATCAGTGTACCCCGTGTTCCCCATGTCACCCTCCTCTCCCATATATAAGTGTCCCTCGTGTTCCTCCGTGTCCCACGCGTGTCTCCCATCTCCTCCATATGCCTGTGTCTCTCGTGTCTCCCCCCTTGTGTCCCTCCATGCCCCCTTGTGCGCTTGTTTTCCTCATATCCCCCCCACCTGTGACGCCTCCAAATCCCCCGGTGCCCCCATGTGCACGTGTCCCCCCATGTCCTACGTGTACCCGCGGTCCCACCTTCCCCCGTGTCCCTGTGTCCCCCCTGTGCCCGTGCCATCCTCCAGTCCCCGCCGTCCCCAGGCCCCGCCCGGCCTCCCGCGCCCCCCCCCGTCCCCTCCCCTCCCCGCGATGCCCCCCTCCGGCCCCCGGCCCGCCCCGTCGGCTCTGACTGAAGGCGGCACCTGCGGCGGTCACACGGCCGCTGGGCGAGCGGAGCGCGGTGAGCCGGGCTGCGGGGCGCCGGGGGAGTGGGGGGGGCGTCGGGGGTTTGGGGTGGGAAACGAGGATAGGACGGGATGGGGGCGAGGGAGGGGACTCGGAGTTGGGAATAGGGAACGGGTTGTGGAACTGGGACTGAGCTGGAGAAGCTGGGAGAGGGCAGGAGGGAAACCTGAATGGGGAATGGGTTGGGTTGTGTAGGGGGGGGAGGAGGGGCGTGGGGATGGGACAGGGGAGTGGGGATGGGGTTGGGGTGGATGGGATGGGATGAGGGGTGGCAGAGAGGGGTCTGGGATACATAATAGGGATGGGATGAGGACTGGGGGCTGTGTTGGGGCGGCTGGGGGGGGTGGGCAGGAGGAACACTGAGGGGCAGAGGAAGGGCAATGAGATTGCGTGGGGTGGAGGCACGGGATGAAGGCACACTGGACACCTCAGTGACAGCCCTGCAGCACACTGTAGGAACATGGAATCCCCAACAACCGGTGGAGCCCCTGCCCCGAGTGACACTGCCCTGGGCGACCTCACGCAGACATCAACAGGGCCAACAGAGGGGACGGTGCGGGGGGACAGCAGGGAAAGCGTGGCACAGGAGGGGCAGGCAGAGGCTGGCAGAGCTGAAGGAGGGGCTGGGGGGGAGGCTGCAGGGGATGTGGGGAGTGAGAGCAAAGGGGAGGCAGCAGAGAATGCTGGGAGCAAGGCTAAGGTAGAAGCAGTGAAGGACTGTGAGAGTGATGCTAAGGGGGAGGCAGCAGGGGATGCTGGGAGTGAGGCCAACATAGTGGGAGATGCTGGGAGTGAGACTAAGGAGGAGGCTGCAAAAGATGCTGGGAGTGAGGCTAAAGAGGAGGCTGCAAAGGATGCTGGGAGTGAGGCTGAGGAGGTTGCAAAGGATGCTGGGAGCGAGGCTAAGGAGGAGGTTGCAAAGGATGCTGGGAGCAAGGCTGAGGAGGCTGCAAAGGATGCTGGGAGCGAGGCTAAGGAGGAGGCTGCAAAGAATTCTGGGAGCGAGGCTAAAGGGAAGGCTGCAGAGGATGCTGGGAATGAGGCCAAGACAGCAGGGGATGCTGGGAGCGAGGCTGAGGCTGCAGAGGATGCTGGCAAGGAGCCCACAGCAGGGCAGGCTGCTGAGCGTGAGGCTGAAGCACAGACCAGAGGCAGCGCAGTGCCACAGGAGGAGGCTGAGCCGGGGCCCAGGCCGGTGGCAGCAGGCAGCACCCAAGGCCAGCAGGTGAGAGGGGGCACGACTGGGGTGGCACTGCCAGGGGCTGGGTATTGGGTGGCACGGGTGGGGTGGGGGTGGCAGCACTGTGGGTTGAGTGGCACAGTTGGGGCTGGGGGTAGCACAGGGGACAGGTGGGTTGGAGGGTAAAGTGGTGGCAGTGGAATGGATGGCAGCAGTGAGATGGTGGTACAGTTGTGCAGCCACCATGCCTGTGCCCACAGGAGCCCACCTGGCAACAGGACGAGGATGATGAGCTGTGGCCAGAGTTCCCCCCCTGCTCGCCCACGGAGGGGGCCACCAGCCCCACCACCCCACTCTCCCCTACCTCCCCTGTGTCTCCCACATTCCCTGTATCTCCCACGTCTCCTTCGTCTCCTGTGTCCCCCACATCCCCCACAGGTAAGGGCTACACTGGGCACAGGAATCCTCTTCCAGGGCATGGGAGGCAGGAGGGGGACTGGGATGAGGAATGGGGGGCGAGGTGGGCCCTCTCCCAGGGTCCCTTACAGATCCCCATACACTCTGTAGAGTCCCTCTGTTCCAAGTCCCAGCTGCCCCATTTGGGACCTCCTGCAGTGCCTGCAGGCACTATGGCTGCCCCAGGGAGATAGTTCTATGATGGATGCCCCCTCTCATCCTGCTGACTCCTCTGTTCTCCCCTACAGCTGGTAGCACTGAGAGCTCAGGTGGCAGAGAGAGGTGAGAACAGAAGAGCAGCCAGCACCAGGGCTGCCTATAGGCCTGCCCCGCTGCTGGCATCCCCATACCCTGTTTTCATAGGTGATATCCACAGTGGTGACCCTATCCCTGCTCACAGTCACCACCCCTGTGTTCTCAGTGGTGTGTCTGCAGTGGGGCCACGGGGACGGGTGCCCCCCAGGGTGGCAGCTGTGGGGCGGCCAAGAGTGAGCAGCCGAGCACATGGACGCAGTGCCATCCTGGAGAAGTTTGGGGGGTGAGTGGGGTCTGGGGAGGTCAGGGTGCAATGAGGACAGTGGGGAGGCCAGGGGACAACGGGAGGCAGTGGAGGAGCATGGGCAATGGGGTGGCTGGAGGGCACGGAGCGCTGGGGGGAATGGGAAAGCCAAGGGACAATGAGAGATATGGGACATTGGACAGCTGGGGGCATGGGGCAGTGGGGGGACATTGAGAAGAACATGGGACACTGAGGATAGCGCTGCCCAATGGTGAGCCCCTGGGGAATATGCACCAATGGGGGACGCTGGCTTGGCCACAGGGCAGCCACAGGCCCAGCCCCACACCTGAAGCGTGTAGGGGCCTCAGGCTCAGTGAAGGCCATGCTGCTGGAGTGGTGCCGTGCCAGGACACGTGGCTACCAGGTGAGTACTGGGGGACTGGGGGCTGGCAGAGGGCCAGCAGTGTCCTGACCCCCCCCCTCCCCTCCCCCTTCCTGCTTATCCACCCACACAGCACGTGGACATCCAGAACTTCTCGGGGAGCTGGAGCAGCGGTCTGGCCTTCTGCGCCCTCATCCACAGCTTCTTCCCCGATGCCTTTGACTATGGCAGCCTGGAGCCGCAGGACCGCCGGCATAACTTCACCCTGGCTTTCACCACCGCAGAGTGAGTATGTTCCTGTCCCCATCCCCATGTCCACCTGTGGGGCAGCCCTGGTGATGCCGGTCCTGCAGGGAGCGTGTCGACTGTGCCCAGCTGCTGGAGGTGGAGGACATGCTGCGGCTGGCGGTGCCGGACGCTAAGTGCATCTACACCTATGTGCAAGAGCTGTACCGCAGCTTGGTGGCCAAGGGGCTAGTGAAGACCAAGAAGCGCTGAGGGCACCCCAGCCCTATTCCCCATTTTGTCCCACACCCCCTAGGAGTAAAGGTTTGCAGTGCCATGCCGTGGTGCCTCATCTCTCGTGGGGGCAGCATCGTGCAGAGGAGTCACAGGATTGAAGTGGGAGCTTTATGTACAGGGCAGGGGGCTCTGAGGTGGGGGATCAGGGTCCAGGGGTGTCGGGGCGCGGCTCGGCATAGCGACGGGTGTGCTCCTCTGCCTGGTGCAGGAAGGCCTCGGGCCTCTCGCTCAGCTCACGGGCCAGCTCAGGGCGCAGCACCCGCTCGGTGCCGGGGTTGTCGAGCAGCAGCAGCAGGTCCTGCAGCACTGTGGGACACGGGGGAGACATCAGCGAGGGCGCTTGCCATGCCCCCACCCCAGCCCCCAGCACCCACCGTGCGTGGCGCAGGTGACCGGCTCCCAGCTCTCAGGGGAAGTGAGGGGCTGGCACACGGTGCCGTCGGGGCCCACACCAGGGTGGTGGATGCTGGTGAGAAGCGTGACACGAGGAGGCACAAGGGGGTAATGTGGGGAGAAGGCCAGCTCGAAGCGAAAGGCACCCGCGTTGTAGGGGGGATTGTTCTGCAGCGGCAATGAGAGCGCTTCAGCCTCCAGCTGCCCTACAGGGGCACAGCCCCCCCGGCTGCCCTGCCCCATACCCTCCCAAGGTTAGCCCCATCACGTCCCTCTCCCACCCTGCATGGTGCCTCCTAGGGAAGCCCCCCAAGCTTGCCCTAGCAAGGACTCCTTCCATGTCCCCAGGGCCTCCCTGCATCCCCACGACCCCTGGGGCCTCCCTGTACCCCTCCCATACCCCTTTCCTTAAGGACCCCCCCATGAACCCCCCATGCCCCATCCCCCTCGTGCCCACAGGTAGCAGCAGTCCCCTCCAGCGCAGCACATCACGGTCCACCAAGTGCAGGTCGCGGACCCCGCCCCAGCGCCGCACCTCCTCCAGCTCCTGTGGACGTGCTCTGGTTAGGGGCCGGGGCCTCGGTGAGGATACGCCTCCAGGTTCAGCCCCGGGGCGGGGCAGACCATGGTCCCCCCAAAATGGGCTGTGTCAACCACCCGACCACGCCCCCAAACGGGCGGTCTCACCCTTCGGTACACACCGCCTCGCCGTGCGGTCCTCGTCGGGGAAACGAAAGCGGAACCGCCGCACGGGCACCCGGTGCGCTGCGCGCCCCGCTGTTGGCATCCATTCCCCTCGCACGGCGCTACCCGCGCCCCCCGCCCCGAGTACAGCCACCCCGCACCCCGTCACCGGGTCTCCGCACCCCGACGCGCTCCACGATCCCGCTGTCCCTGTCCCGCCCCCCAGGCTGGGTGCCGATAGCGGGGTGTCCCTCCCGCTGACCCCGCGCCCCACGCACCATAGCGAGCCGCCTGCTCATGGTCATCGATGTCCGGTGCCCGGTGCCGCCGCCGCTGGGTGGGACGCCCCGGGGCCGCCCACCCTGGGAGGGGCGGGGCAAGAGGCTGCGGCCCCTCCCCGAGGGCGGAGTGGGTGGGAGGGGACAGGTTGGGTGGTGAGAGCCACGGCGATGGATGGGGGCAGGTCCTCCAGCGCGGGGCGGGACGCAGGGCTGGGCCGTATGGTGCCGGGAGCTGCGCTTCAGCCGGGGGCCCCCGCCAAGCCTGGCCCCCAGGCATCTTCCGGCTGATTTACGGGAAGCCTCTATGGCCTCCCGCCCTCCTTAATCTTTAACCAGGCAGGCCTGGCTCCGGCCAGTTCGCCCCTGCGGCCGGCCGGACATTTGGGGAGCGACCTGACGGGCGCCAGGTGGGCCCGGGGTGCTGCCTCTCCATCACACGGGGCGTGTGGGGGTGTCGTGCAGGGAGCACCTGGTGCTGAGGGTGTGTGGTTTGTGGGTGCCAAGGGGTGTTGGGAGCGAATGGGGGGGGTACTGGGTGTTCAGCTGATACTTTGACCAATGCTTGCCGACCAGGTTGCTCACCATGAAGCTCTGCCTGCTGCTGGTGTGCCTGGTGGCCATGGTCACAGCCACTGTCGCCCCGGTAAGTGTGGCATGGGGACGTGGACTCCCTGCAGCCAGGTGCCCCCTGGCCACCCTCACCAGTGTCCCCATGCCCAGGTGTCCATGCTGGAGACCAATCCTTCCAGAATGATGAAGCCAATCAGACTGCGGCCAGCACAGATGGTGTTTCTACGTCCCACCACAAGCCCACCAGGGGACACAGGGACACCAACCCAGCCTGTGCCCAGCTCCAATGCCAGCTCCACGACGGAACCTAGCCTGGAAGCTGTATTGGAGGCTTTGAAGCCTCTGGGCCCTGTGGAATTTGTGGCAGCACCCGAGGAGCCTGGCACTGCTGCTGGCGGGAGCACGACCACACCTGAGCCTGGGACCACCATGGATCCCCCCAGCACCCCTCCAGGCACAGCCACCCCACCGTGCCCTGGGGACGAGGAGCCGGGTGAGACCTGCAGAGCACCAACGAGGGAGCAGAAGGAGGAGGTGGCCAAGGCGCTGGGCACCTTCGCCCTACGCTTCTACCAGCACATGGCAGAGTCTGCCAAATCCAACACCAACCTGCTCTTCTCCCCCCTGAACGTGGCCCTGGGGCTGTCACACCTCCTGCTAGGTGAGGGGCTCCCTGTGATGCAGCCCACACGCCCACAGCCCTCCCAGCTGCCAGACCTTTCTGAACCTCACCATTGCCCTCAGGTGCCCGCGGTGAGACCCAGCAGCGCCTGGCTGCCATCCTGGGGTACCGGCCAGGGCTGGCCTGCGTGCACGGTGCCCTGCGGCAGCTTGCCAACGTGTCAGGGCTGCTCTCTGCCGCGGAGATTTTCCACCACCCAGGTAAGACAGACACTGGCAGGGAGGAACAGTGGGGTGGGCAAGGGGGTGACATCATCCATGCTACCATGCAGACCTGCAACTCCGACCCCGCTTCTTGAATGAGTCATGGCAATTCTACGAGGCCATGCCACAGGAGCTGAGTGGTAACGAGAGCCTGGACTTGCAACGCATCAATGAATGGGTGCGCAAGGCCACACGTGGGCTTGTGCCCCATCTGCTGTCCCAGCTGCCTGATGAGCCTCGCCTGGTGCTGCTCAGTGCTGTCCACTTCCAGGGTATGGCACAGTTCCTAGGGTCTATCCAGGATTTGCCCTGAGATCTACCTTGGGAGCCACCTTGGGATCTACCAACCTTCATTCCTCCATCCCCTGGTGGCCCTCAGCCCCACAACATTCCACCCCACAAACACTGTGTCCCTGCAGCCCGGTGGAAAAACCCATTCAAGACCAAGCATACAGTGCTGCTGCCCTTCATGCGCCATGGGCACCTGCCAGTGGATGTGCTCACCATGACCAGCAAGAAGTACCCTGTGGCATCCTTCACTGACTCCCACCTGCAGGTCCAGGTACTGCATCCCTGTGCTTGTGGAGCATGATGTCACAGCACGATGTCATTGCTGTGGCACGGAAGGGACGTGCTAGGTGGTGATGTCATCCCTGGAGCACTGATGGGAAGCCAGGCAATGGCATCGCTCCCATGGCACTGAACGAGGATGCCAGGCTATGATGTCACACTGCAGGTGGGGCGGCTGGAGCTGAGTGGGGGGCTAAGCCTGGTGGTACTGGTGCCACGGGGACCTCCGGAGGCCCTGGAGGCTGTGGAACGAGCGCTGGACCCGCCCACCTTCCTGGCACTGCTGCAGCGGGCAGCCAACACCCCCATGCGCCCTACTACCGTGGCCCTGCCACGCCTGCACCTCGACCTCGCCATGGACGTGGTGGCCAGGGTACATGACATGGGTAAGGCATTCCCCCATCCCTGTCTGTGCTGGAGTGATGTCACCTACTGCACGTAAGGTGACAGATGCTGACATCACTCCCTGCAGTAAGTCCCCTGCACTCTTCCCCTGCAACTTCAGTGCCCCCTGTGTTTCTTGTGTTTTCACATAACCTGTGTCCATTGGTTCTCTGGCAGCCCCTGTGGCTCCAGCATCCTCCATGTCCTCTACATCCCTTTGTATCCCCTGCTGTTTGCCATCCCCCATTTATTCCTGGTGTCCTTTGGTTTCCCCTTGTTCCCAATGCTCCCACCCCCTCCTGTCTCCGTGCCACGGCAATGGCACTGAGTCTGGTTGCTGCAGACTTTGGGCTGTTCCTGGATGCGGAGCTGTGTGGGCTGGCACGGGGCCCAGAGGTGGCAGTGGATGCAATGCAACACCGGGCTGTGCTGACACTGGATGAGAAAGGCGTGGAGGCAGTGGGTGCCATGGCCACCTCAGTGGCCCGCACGGCTCTGCAGCTGGAGGCTTTGCAGCCCTTCCTCTTCGTGCTCTGGGATGAAGGCAACACCATCCCCCTCTTCATGGGACGCCTTAGTGACCCCCAGGCCTGATGCCTGCCCCTTCCTTCCTCACCTCCATTTCTTCCCTCCCTCCTTCTCTTGTCCCTATCTACCTTCTCTTCTTCCTCCTTCCACCTTTCTCTCCCTCTTCCCATTCCTCCCTCCCTGCTTCCCTGTATCTTCTCTCCCTCTTCCCCCTTCCTTCCCTCTGCACTCCATCTTTCCCTCTTCCAACAACCATTCAGCCACATCCTTTTCTCCCTTCTCCTTCCCACACCTCCCAAATTCTCTGCCCCCATTGGGTGCTCCTGGCCCCACAGCAGCTCCTGTGCCTCTGTTTCCCCCATCAGCTCTGGGCCTGAGGCCCCAATAAAAGCTCTGAGTCACTGAATGGCTCCTGTTGGAGGGGGAACACTATTGCTGCTGGTGTGCCAGGTGCTGTTCCCCTGGCATTGCCACCTCCCCCTGGCACTCCAAGGTGACACTTGACGCCTTCCTACAAAAATCTTTTATTCCACTAGAAAAGCTGCCCGCAGCCTCTGTGCGCTGGTGACGGGCCCCATGCCCTCACCCCAGCAGGTGGCACAGGCTGGCTTGGGGTGCCCCTCTGAAGAGCAAAGTGGGGAGGGTCCATGTCAGTAGTCCAGTGCCAGGTGCCTGCCAGGGTAGGTGCCACTGTGGTGTCCCTGCCATGCTGCTCAGTCCCAGCCGTTCTCCTTGACCATGTGTGACATCTCGATGATGAACTTCCCCTCCTTGTACTTCTGGCTGCTCTCAAATGCCTGCTCCTGTGGGGATGGCAGCCTGAGCCCCCCCAGGGCCCAGGTCACAGGACATATGCCATGGATTTGGGGTCCCAAGGCAACCATTGTGGGTTTGGGGTGCCTGCACAGTGAACTGCAGCAGGGCTTTGGGTAAAAAAGTGGGATTTGTGGTGCTGTGGACTCAGAGTGCCCCTATCATGTCTTTGGGATGCCCAGGCCAAGGGATTGGGGTGACAGTGTGATGCCCGATCCCAGTTTGGGGGTGCCAGGGGCACTCACGTATTTCCAGCCCAGAGTGGTTTTGCAGCTCTCGCAGAAGATGTCAGCCACAGAGTGAAGCCCAGTGAGCAGCAGGCGCTGTTCGGCCGGGCCACAGCCCACATTAACCCTGCACCAGACAGGGTACTGTGGTCACAGCTGGGGATGTTCCTTCAGTCTTCTCCAGGACAAACAGCCCTGGGTGGGTGATAGCTTGCCCCACTCCCTCCTCCCAGCATCCCGTCCCCCACTGCAGTACTCACACCGAGTTGAACAGGTAGGCACGGCCATGGCTGCCCTGGAAGGACTGCAGGGACACAGCGTGATTCAACCCAGCGTCCCCTGTGCCTCCCTCACCCCCTCCTCCATCACCGCCATGCCACCACAGGGAAAGACTTTCTGCCATGGGGACACTGTGGGGAGTATGGGCACAGGAGGACAGCCGGCACTCGGGACACCATGGAGGGAACACTGCAGAGGGGATGCTGTGGAGGAGACAGCATGGGGGGACAGCATAGAGGGGACAACGCAGAGAGGACAGACACCACTGCCCTGGGGACACGCTGGGGAGACCCTCATTATTTCCCGGAGACACCGCAGAGGGGAAGACAGCCACCCCATGGCCCCGGGGAGGTGACGCGGCCGCAGAAGGGGCACCTTGGAGATGAGCTCCTCGTGCCTGGCCAGGTGTGCACGGCAGTGTACGCAGCTGTAGGTGCGGTGGGAGCGCGGTAGGTAGCTGTGGAAGGTCCGGGGAGGCAGACGAGTGGTGGTGGGGACCCGGTGGCGGCGGGCGGGGGGCACGGCGGGTGGCAGGGCCCCGGGAGGCCGCGGAGGTGCGGGGGGCATGGTGCAGCCCCCGCACAGCCGCTCGCAGGGGAAGAAGCAGCGCAGCAGCGTGCCGAGAGCCGTCGTCCCTCCGGGACCGGGGGTGGGGCGCGGCAGCCCAGGGTCCCCCCGGGTGAGAAGCGGGCGGTAAGGGGGGGCGGCCTGCGAAGGGTTAAGCGGGATGGGGTGAGGAGGGGGCAGCGCCGTGCCCCCCCGGCACCGCCGTACCCTTCCCCGCCCCCGTGTCCCTCAGCTCACCGCCTGCCGTCGTCCCCGCTGCCGCTGTCCCCGGTGCCGGTGCGGGGCGGGGGCACCAGGCGGCCGCGGAGGGGGTGGGGGGGAAGGGAGGGGAGCGCCGCACGCCCGGGGACTGCATCACGGCGCCGTGACTCATTGCTCGACGTCACCGCCCGCACCCCGCGCCGAGACGTCACCGCCCGGCAGCACTACGTCACCGCTGCCCCCGGGACCGAGCTGCGGGCGCTCTCCCGGCTCCCGCGCGCTGCCGAGGGACCCCCGGAGCGGCTGCAGCGAGTCCGGGGCGGGAGGGGAGCGCAGGTCCCGGCGTGCCCGTGGCACGTAGCGGGGCCGGGGGCGGTGAAAAGGGGGAGAGGCCGTGGCCACGGTTCCCCAGTAGGTGCTATGCAGATGAGACGCAGACGAACAACGGGGAGCGGCACGCCGCAGCAGGCCCGGACTGCATCCCCCAGCAGGCACCGCGCGGCTGCCATGGCAACGCCCCGCGTGCTCCCGCTGATGGAGAGGGCGTGTGGGCTGCGCTCTGACCTCACTTCCGGCGTTTGACCTCACTTCCGTCGTACTCTGTGACGTAACGGAAACGCGACAGCCCTGCCAGAGTCCTGGTAGGCGCGCGGAACAGCTGTAGGCGCTGTCAGGTACTGTCGGTTGCCCGGTCCCGGGCTCAGGGTCCAGCCCTACCGCGGTGGGCGGTAGGATCGGGCCGGGCCCGCGATGGCGGATGATGGCGGCGATGAGAAGAAGCAGGTGGCAAAATTCGAGCTGGAGCGGGAGACAGAGCTGCGTTTCGAAGTGGAGGCTTCGCAGACGGTGCAGATGGAGCTGCTCACCGGCATGGCTGAGGTGTTTGGCACCGAGCTGACCCGCAATAAGAAGTTCACCTTTGACGCTGGTGCAAAGGTGGCCGTCTTCACCTGGCACGGTTGCACCGTGCAGCTCAGCGGGCGCACCGAGGTGGCATACGTCTCCAAGGACACCCCCATGCTGCTCTACCTCAACACTCACACGGCCCTGGAGCAGATGCGGCGGCAGGCAGAGCGCGAGGACGAGCGGGGGCCCCGTGTCATGGTGGTGGGCCCCACCGATGTGGGCAAGTCGACTGTGTGCCGCCTGCTGCTGAACTATGCTGTACGCCTGGGGCGCCGGCCCACCTTTGTGGAGCTGGACGTGGGGCAGGGCTCCGTCTCCATCCCCGGCACCATGGGTGCCCTCTACATCGAGCGACCAGCTGACGTGGAGGAGGGCTTTTCCCTGCAGGCCCCGCTGGTCTACCACTTTGGCTCCACCACACCTGGCACCAACATCAAGCTCTACAACAAGGTGAGTGCGTGGAGTCCCTGTCATCTTGCGGGAGTAGGGTGGAGCCTCCAAGGAGTCCTGCCTGCCCCTGTGAGTTAGGGATTGCCCAGCTAGTCCTGTTGTATAAAACCATGGTGCAATACTGAGTTAAGCACTGAGGTCCAAAAAAAACCATGAAGGGTAAAAAGCTGGTCCAAATTCCCAGCATCCTCTGTCTGCAGTTTGGTGATGGTTAGAAGTCCCTTTTTAGCTGAAGGTTGCCCTCAGCCCCATGCTTGTCCTTGTCCTGTCTGTGGGACACTGGGGAGTAGCTCTGCTGATGTGGTCAGGCAGCCTTTAGTGCATTTAATGTGCTTTATGGACAGCTTCAGCACTGAATGTGGCTGCTGATCCTTTACAGCTATCACAGAGAGGTGAGCAAGGAAGGATTTCAGTGGTTGCCCATGGCCCAGGCATTGCCTCTGCCTCTTAGCACTAAATAAACCTTCTGAGTGAGTTAGGAGCATTGCCTATCATTGCTGTATCCCAAAGAATTGGAGATCACATGGCCTCCAGCTGTGTTTGTCTTTTGGGAACAGAAACATCCCTCTCAATCCCATGTGCTTTATCCTCGTGTCCTGATATCTGCCTGCAGATCACATCCCGCCTGGCCGATGTCTTCAACCAGCGATGTGAAGTGAACCGCCGTGCATCGGTCAGTGGCTGCGTCATCAACACATGCGGCTGGGTGAAAGGCTCGGGCTACCAGGCGCTGGTGCACGCTGCCTCAGCTTTTGAGGTAGATGTAGTGGTGGTGCTGGACCAGGAGCGGCTCTACAACGAGCTTAAGAGGGACCTGCCCCACTTTGTGCGCACTGTTTTGCTCCCCAAATCTGGTGGAGTGGTGGAGCGCTCCAAGGACTTCCGGCGGGAGTGCCGAGATGATCGCATCAGGGAATATTTCTATGGCTTCCGGGGCTGCTTCTACCCTCACGCCTTTGACGTCAAATTCTCTGATGTTAAGATCTACAAGGTGGGGGCTCCCACCATCCCTGACTCCTGCCTGCCACTGGGCATGTCGCAGGAGGACAACCAGTTGAAGCTGGTGCCGGTGACGCCAGGGCGGGACATGGTGCATCACCTGCTGAGCGTCAGCATGGCCGACAGCCCCGATGACAACATCTCAGAGACCAGTGTGGCTGGCTTCATTGTGGTCACCGGCGTAGACCTGGAACGCCAGGTGTTCACTGTGCTCTCGCCTGCTCCTCGCCCACTGCCCAAGAACTTCCTCCTCATCATGGACATCCGCTTCATGGACCTGAAGTAGCTCTAGCAGGGATGGGGCAGGGAGTCCGGGGCAGAGGGAACACATGGGGATGTCCATGCACATCCCCATGTACCCCAGTGCTTGCTCTTTGCCCAGCAGCTTTCAGGCCCTGGGTTTGTGCCCTTGTGCCAGCGGGTGCAGCTGGTGCAGGAGGCCACCTCTCGTTTTTATATCTTTTTGTAAAGTTTGTTATTAAATCTCATTGCCCTTTGGCTCCGTGGTGCTTGCTGCTTTTTGTCTCGGCTCCGGGTGCTCACCACCCACCCCCGTGGATAATGAACAGGGACCTCAGGCCTATCACGGGAAGACGATCGGTCAAGGCGAAGCAGGGCGGAAGACGCTCCTTTTCCTCCGCTCCGCGGACACGCACGGGCTGGGCTCGACTCGGTTCCTGTCTCGTCCCACGGGTTCGCCCCGCAGAGCTCAGACCCCCTCCGGCGGAGTAAGCGCCGCGCACGCGCTCTGCAGTGCACGTGCGCCCACCCTCCCGATGACGCATGCGCGCGGCCACCTCCCGTTTCGCGCATGCGCACCGCGCCCCTCCTCGCTCCTTCCAGGCTGTTCCCCAGGCGGCGACCAATGAGGAACGGCGGGCGGGACGCGCGGCCGAAGGGGCGGGGCGCGCAGGCGCAGCCGTGACGTCGTGCCCAGCCGCCGAGCGCCGCGGTCGCTTCGTGCCCGGTAGCGTTGGGCGCCGCCCGGGCCGCGCCGCAGCGGGCCGGTGAGTACCGCGGGGCCTCCCCGCTCCCCCTCCCACTCCCGCCGCTCTCCCTCCCGTCGCGCCCGCCTCCTCCCCGGGCCGCCGGCCCTTCCCCGCCCCCGGTAGCCGTAGGGCCCTGGAGCCCCGGCTGCGCTCTGCCCCGGGGCCGCCCCCGAGCTCCCGCCTGGCAGCGCAGGCTCTCCCCGGCGCCCGGAGCCCCGCCGGCCTGCGGCCTCCGCCCCGCCGCTCCCGGCCCTGCCCGCTGCCCGCGGCGGTGGCGCGGCACGGCGAGGCGAGGCGGGAGCCGCTTCCTCTTGGGCCCCGGCGCGGCGCTGATCCGGCTCCGCACGGCATCTCCGTGAGTTCGCCGCGTCCTTCCGTGCACGCGGGGCCACGGAGCGACAGCACGGCTGGGGGCGGCGGGCCTTACGGCCCATCCGGTTCCACCCCTTCATAGGCAGGGGCGCTCGGTAGCAGCCCGGTCGGACTGCACAGGGCCCCATCCGGCCCGGCCTGGGGCGCCTCCAGGGATGGGGCACCCGCAGCTCTCTGGGCAGCTGTGCCAGTGCATCACTGCCCTCTGAGTAAAGATTTTCCTCCTTACGCTTAATCCGAATCTCCCCTCTTTTAGTTTAAAGCCATTATCATTCATTCACTCTCTGTCCTCGTGAAGGTCCCTCGCCAGCTTTCGCGTAGCCTTTTTATGTACTGGGAAGCCGCAGTGAGGTCTCCCACAGCCTTCTCTTCTCCAGGCTGACTGAGCCCATCTCCTTGTAGCCTTCAGCGTCCGTGAGGCTTCTCCTCTGACAGCTCAGTGTCCTTCTGGTGCTGGGAGCCCAGAGCTGCTTTGGAGGGTTGGGTGGTGCTGCTGGGGAATTTGGACAGGCACGGAGGCTGGACGGTGGGATAACAGAGTGCGGTCTTGCTCCTGAGTGCTATGAGGATGGGCAGGGTTTGTGTTTGAGGAGTGGACACCAGCGCAGCAGTGGCCTGCAGCACAGAGCCTTCCCACAGACTCGCATCTGGAGTTGGGGCTCTCCTCGTGCTGATGGTACTTCTGATGAGAACATCTTGACAACTTCAGTTTTTAAAAGCCTGTGTCAGGGTTTGGTTCTCGTGGCCTGTCAGTGAGCAGAAGTTGAAGAGTGCTCTCTGGCTGCAGAGCCCTGGCTCGTGTGCTGCTGCCTTGTCCAGAGTGAAATTCCTCCTCAAAACACACTTCCACACAACATTCTCTGGTGTTGGTGATGTAATGGGCTGTGCTGGCAGGTGTTCAGCCTGGCTACTGCTAAGCAGCTCCAAATTATCAATGTGAAACGTGTTAATCCCAAGTTATTGCAGCTGAGGATTCTGTTGCATCTCCCTGAGATGAGAGCAAAATCTCACAGTTGTACCCTGCTCGTCTCGCTGGTTTAGGGGGGGAGATCCTGCCTTCCTGGTGTCCCTTGCTGATGGCTCCCTAGGATGTGATTTCTCCCCAGCTTCCACGTTTTGCTTTACTACATACCTGAATTGGGTTGTTTGTGGGATCATCCTTCCTGCACTGATGTTTTCTAGGCTATAAAACATGACTACAGCCTTGTCTAGATCGAAGTGAGGAGGTTGATCAACTTAGCGGGCTTAATCTAATCATCACCTCCAGCGAGGCATTGTTCCTTAGCAGAGGACTTTGTTCTCATGGTTCCTGAGGTCAGGCAGGAGGTAACTGGGTGGAGCAGGGCCAACGGGAGACCTTTACCTCTGATTTTAGACAAGGCTTTTTGAGGCGTTCACCCCTCTCCTGCTGCACCCCTTGTTTCTTCCGCTCACTGCTGCCTCTGGGCACTGGTGGTGGAAGGGATGGGTTTGTGCATTGAGGAAGGCGTGGACACATTGGATGAGATGCTGTTCTTCCCTGCTTTGCCCGCAAAATGGGGCTAATCCCATATAAACCGCTGAGATGGCCAGGGGAGGTGTGGGAGCAATGTAAGCAAGGCCAGAGATAAGCACCGAGGGGCTGCCAGCCGTGCTGACTGCTTGCTCTGATGGTTTTGCACTTTCCCTTGTAGCCTGCATCTCAGCAACTGCTGTTGTCTGTGTTGCAGGAATACCTCTGGGCTCCTCGCTGTGCGGGGCTTGTGCAATGAGCTCAGTGCAGAGGGGAGCTGGCTGGGACATGTTTCTCATCCCGTGAGTGGAAGGTGCCAAGGCTCGAGACTGCAGAGCCGGCCCTGGGGCCACCTGCTCCATGCAGATCCTGGGTGCAAGCAATGAAAACAAGGTGGGAACAGGTAGAGCACATCTTGTCTTTGTGTCGTCCTGGATCTGCCCTGACTGGGACTTGCATCACTCGGAAGGAATTGTTTGTCTGTTTGACCCGTGCAGGGGAAACTCAACAGGACTGGTTTGGGGCAGGGAGGCAGCTGACGCACCACTGGAGCTCATAACTGAGAGTGAACTCTCTCTGCTCCGTGCCAGCTCCTTTCCCAGGGCGGTAACAAAAGGCAGTGTTGGGGAACCTTGTCACATTGAGGTGAGCGCTTCCTTCTTCAGGGCTGGGAGCGCTTAGAGGAACTGCTTGTTGGCAGTGTAGAGCATGGTGAGGAGTGTTTTCTTGTCCCATCTGATTCTTCGGAAAGATCAAGCCCCAGAGCAAGACAAACTGTTCAGGCTGCATGTGGATAGGTTGCTGGAAAGTGATGAGACGGGGAAGTGGTGGAAAGGACAGGAGGAGCACAGAGCTTCCAGGAGTGAGTGCTGGCAGAAGTGGAAGTCAGAATCAGACTCTTCAGGTTCTCGGCTGAAGAAAAGGCAATGTGGACTGAAAGAGAAGTGTAAGGTGGCAGCGGTGGCGTTTGGAAATATCCTGAGGAAAGGAATGGAGGATTAAGTAAAGTCCTCAGAAACTGAGGTGAGGGGAGATGGAAGTTAGCCCCTCACATGAATGGAAGCACATAAATGGGGAATGAGAATACGGGTGCAGGGAAACTGGGGCATTGGGACAAGCTCAGGGAGCAGCTGAACCCTTGCCAGGCAGTAAAGCCATCTGTGGGATGGGAGTATCAGTAAGGTAGTGGCTGACTTGGGAATCCTTTAGGGAACCTAGACTCTCCCTTGGGAGTGGGAAGCCTGAGGTAGTGCTGGATAAGAGGAACCGGGGAAAAAAAAAGCACAACAGAGGAAGAGGTGCCAGGGTTGGGAAAACAGGTAGAAACGCCAGAGGAGAGGGAAAATGGAGTAATCTGTGACACAGAAGCCTAGTAAAGCTTGACTGGGAGCAGGAAGGAGTAGGGCAGGTCCTGAGAAACATGGCAGGGAGGAGCTGCTGTGCTGGAAGCAGCAGAGGAAGGATCAGGATGGGAGTAGAGCACATATGTTCCTCAGGTGAGTTGCAGTGAGGATAAAAGGTTTGGAAGGGGAAAGAAGAGATTGGGAGTGGGCAGATTGCAGGACTGCAGGAGAAAAGATATAGCAAGAGATTGTTTGGGGAATGTGGTCTGAATCGGTATAATTTGTGGATGGTGGATCCTGCGAACAGTTTGTGTTTCTCCAGGACATCAGGGTAAGTGACAGGAATGGTCAAGTTTTGGTATCGTTTAGCCCCAAGAAAAGAGAAGAAGGTACCTTAAAATTATGCAGCTGAGATCCCAGCTTCCAGTGCCATGCCACACAGAATTTCAGATGTAAACCAAATATTCCAGGCTGCAGGAGGATTGGACCTCTTGCCTGACAGTCAGGACATGCAGGTGCCCAAGCTTTAGTTTGCATATAAAGAGATTTTCCACCAGAATGTGTCTGGGCACTGGAACAGATTCCCTGTGGCAGTGCTCATAGACCCAAGCTGCCAGAGCTCAAGGAGCTTTTGGACAATGCTTTCAAACACAGGGCTTGAATTTTGGAGCTAGGAGTTGGACTCGGTGATACTTTTGGGTCCCTTCCAACTCAGGATATTCTGTGTTTCTGTCTTTACTCTTGCACTGATGTGGGGAACTCGCTCCAGCGCTGTCTGATGCTCCTTTCTGCACTGAGCTGAGCTCTCACGTGGACCTTTGCAAATGCCACAGTGTGCCGACTCGCCCTGTGAGAGGAGTTGGAGCCCTTTAATGTAAGCACCTGTCATTAGGTGGTGCCTTGGGAAAGGTTCAAGCAGAGCTGAGCAGGACCTTGAACTGGGGCAGGCTTCAAGGGGAATGTCTGCAGACGGCGTTCTGGACAAGGAGATCGCTCTGCATAAGGAATGGATGGAGGGATGAGGAATAGCATGGGGGTAAACTTAAATCTCTGAGTATCTGTTTGGATTTGAGGTGTGGCTGTTCTCATGGCGGAGCCTTTCAAAGGGCTGGGGTGTCCTGTTACAGCTGAGGAGCACGTTAACAGATGGTTTCTGCTAAAGCAATTAGCAGTGATGTCATCTTTCAACTTGGGGGTAGCCTATCTCTAGGGCTGCTGCCCGCCCACCCGCAGAGCCGCTGCGGCCGGCTGCCCGGAGGTGAGAGCAGAGCTTCCAGCCAGCAGATTTGGGGCACTGTGCTCCTGTTGTGCTGTGCTGGCTTTCCTCTCTCAATCACAAAGCCAAAAAGTTGGTTTCAAAAGTTTCTGCGAAAGAAGGGCCTTTTGCAATGGGAGCGGTGCCTTGGTTAGTCAGCCCCGCTGGCTGACGCCTTGCTTTGGTACTGAGTTATCTAAGCCTAATAAGTTCTTGTCATTAACTAATTGTGCCCTTAATTTTGTGCCACAGTTCTCTCAGCCTCTGTGAGTGTTTGGTCAGCACTCGGAATTTCCATCTACCCCTAAGAAAAAGATCTGGGA